CGTTTTTCCCCATCTCTTTCTCTTCCTCTCTTGGTCTTTCTCTCCACCGCTCGTCCTTCTCTCCTCCAGTGTGCCTTCTTTCCTTTACCTCTTTTTCTTCTTCTCTCTTTAGCCGACGATGCCCTCCATCACTTCCCCCACGGCAGCGTCACTCCATGTACCCCTCAGCCATGGTGCCCTCCCCCAGCCGGCGGCGCCCTTCACCCGGCAGCGGCGCCCCCCCCCCCCACCCCGGGCGCCTCTCCCCCTCCCCCCAGCCGGCCGACTCCCCCGCCACTAGCGTCGTCCCTCCCTTCTCGCCGGCACGGCGCGGCGACGGCGGGGTGTGGCAACGGCGCCGCCTTCCCCCACGGCGAGCGGCGGCGGCGGCGGCGCCCTCCTCCCCGCGAGCAACGGCGGCGGCGGTGGTGCGCCCCCCCTCCCCAGCGAGCGGCGGCGGCGGCAACCACTCTCTCCACTTCTTCCCCTTTCTCTCTGTGTGGCGGCGGCGGGAGGGCCGGCGACGCCCTCCCCTCCGCTAGATCGGGGGGAGGGGAGGTGCGGCGGCAGTGGTCCCGGTGGAGCGGAAGGGGCGGCGGCCCGGACGACGTGGAGGCGGGCGTCGGCGCCGGCCACCGATTTTTTTTTTTTTTTGCAAATTTTTTCCATGGCTACTGCTAACCGAATCGGATTGTGTATGGATGAAAAACGGACGAAAATTAGATGTGACGACCGGAAAAATACTAATATTTATATTAGTTATAGATCTCTATCTCTACTAATATAAAAGTTTAAGATGTTTTTGCCGGATGATTTGGTCCGTCGCCTTTGAATCCTAATCGCTTCCGTCGTCGTTTTTTGCCCAGCGCTTGCATCTCATGTTTCTTTTTTTCGCTCCGTAGCGCATAGCACCACCTCCTCCGATTCAGTTTTCCGTTTTTCCCGCGACCGCGAGCCCGCGATGGGAGAGGTGCACAATGGGCCTGGGAAGGTCAGATGGAGTCATGGAGATGGCCCGCGCGCGAGTGCATCTTTCTTTTCTTTTTTTTCCCAGTCAAATAATTGATCCATCCTGATGGTCTAATATAAATATGCATGTTCTCCTTTTATTAGGAAAAAGAAATAAAAACCAAGGGAAAAGGAAAAAAACCAAAAAAAAAAACGTGATAGACAATAATGTGGCATATATATATATCTTATGAATCTTAACTACTTAGAAGACCGATAACTTTCCGTTCGTCGCCGTATTTTTGTCCATCAATTCCGCGCTAATTTTCCGTTTGTATACGAGCACATCCGATTACCCCATGGACTCGCCCCCAATGCCCTAACACATCTCTATATCTCCACTATTATAAAAATTGAAGATGTTTTGCCGGTATTTTGGTACGTCATCCGTGTATATGTCGGTTTTTAAGTTTGTTTGCTTTTGGAAATACACAACCGTATTTGATTCGGTTTTTAAGATCGTTCACTTTTGATAATATAGAAGGAATCATATAAAAAATTTGTTTAAAAAAACTCGCATGCTAACTTGAGATGACCGAACTCCTAAATACAGCGCATGATTTTCTAAAAATATATAAAGTGAACTCTTACAGTGAATTTTATTTTAACTAAACCATATAACAATAATAAGATTAAAATAGACTTCATCCATTGTAACGCATGGATATTTTTTCTAGTCTATACTAATATAAAAAGGAGAAATTAGCCTCCTCCAATTCTACCAGCCAAATCACCTGGATCAATCCCTAGCGTCCATTTGCATATCTACTTATCCGTACCGTCCATCCGAGTATCACCTATTCATCCGATCCCATCCATCACAATGCCGTCGCCAGCTCTAGCGCTATCCTCGCGGACCTCGCCCCCGATGCCCGCCGCCGCGCTATCCCCACGTGTGCCCTCGCGCGATGACACCTACGTGGCTCCCGCGAGTCCCTACGGCAGCCGCTGCGCTTTCCTACGACCCCTCGCATGCCCCCGCCGCGACGGAGTGTGGATCCTCCCCCGTGCAGTGAAGGTGCCCTACTAGGTCGCTGTCGTCCAGTCCGCCGACCATATCCCAACCCATCGATGTAAGTATTGCACGCTCCCCTTCATTTTGGTGAATTTAATTTGTAGTGAATGGTGCAAATCCGAGGGTTAGGGATTGGATCATAGTGCAAATCTGACGGTTAGGAATTCGATTCGTATGGATGATTCCGAGTACTGTAACCCCAACCATTTGTTTGTAGATTTGCAGAAAAAGTTATAATCAAACTGGTAAATATTGTAGATTTGACGATGTTCTTGCATTTAATCTCCTCCCCTGGTTGTGTTATGGTACAGGTCTGAAGCTATTGTAGGTTCCCTTATGTCCTCAGGGAAAATACGTGTACTCTGTAAGAGCGGAAAATTCAGGCTTGCTTAGCCACCCAAGACTCTGCCCCCTGCCTACTCCATCTCCAAGGAAGCTGCATGCCTGGGCCACTGGTCTGGTTGGCTAGCGAGGTGTATTTCAAGCATCTACTTGTGACATTAACAACTTTCAAACCTGTGCTGATTGTGGCAGTCAGGGAATTCCTGCATCATACAGCGAATGTGCCTTTATGGCTGCTACACTAGCTACACTTCCAATTTATAGTTTTAAAATTCGTTAAATTAAATTGTGCCAAAGTAGTGTGATATTACTTGGATTGATGCCATTTATCATGGATAGAAATCAAATATATCATGTTCCAGTTCATGAAACTTTTGCAGGATGGAGAGCACAGAGGAGTGACATGATTCCCATCCTCATTCTTTGGAGAGTTTGATAGGTATGTCACAGTCCATGTCTCTATGGCTTTGTATGTCACAGATCTGATCAATCTGCTCTTTGATACCCTAGGAGCATATATTAAATTAATATAGACTGCATATTAGATTGCATAATTCCTGTAACATAATTTCAGCTGCTCATATGATTGTTTGGCTTTCCTCTAGGATAAAACTTTGTACTTTAATTAGCTGGAATCTGGCCATACCCTTGAAGAGGACAAGGGAGCCACACACAAAAAAAATGTATTGGCAAGAGATGCTTTGCACTGGACAAAGCATTGATCTTCTGTTTTCTTAAGGTAAATACTGTATGAGAGTCCTACGGTGAATATATTTATATAATATATAACTTAAGTGCCATTAATTTAATTTCAGTTCTTTAACTCATTTGCAATAGCCCACCTGCTGATAACTAGGATTACTGGGTGCAAATAATACTATCTGGACCACCTTTAATGATTTTTATTTACTTTTTAGTTCAAATTTGGCAATATATTTCTTCCCTGATGGGAATCATGTGCCCTTTTTAAAGCTTACACCAAGGTTCTTAAACTGGACTGTTCATTTCACTTCTGCAGTTTATTGGTTTTATTTTCTGCCATCATATTTTACATTTACATGTAGGAATGAAGTAATGGCTACCACTTTTTTACTTGTTTCTATATGTATGCAGCCATGGCTTTCTTTACTAACCTAGCTGCGGTATAGATCCAGCTAGCTTTATACTCACATATTACTGTCTTCCATAAACCTTTCCATTTGCCAGCCAATGTAATGCGATCCTTTTTCTCTATCATGTTTTCTATCTGAAGTTTTATCGTGCTCCGTATTTTTCCAATATTGTTATTCCTTCAACAAAATCAACTGATCCACACATTACTTCCAACACATACTTCAGTTTTTTTTTTCCAGAAACAGGACGTGGCTTTTTTTTTGCCGTATTTCTGTTGAAGTCAGATTTCATAAATCAATTTAAACCAGCATTACAATGTGTCACCCTCGGATGGCTGGGAAGTTAGCTAGAAGCCGAGATTGAGCAGTATTTTTTGGCAGTAACTGCTAGGATGATGCACATGTGCAGTGTGAAATCCCTTCCAGTGCCCAACTGCTAGGATGATGGACATGCTCATGGGATACCCCGTAAGTCCATACCAGAAATGCATAGTTGTCATTTCAATTTTTAAGATGTTTCCAGCATGTTCACACACGACATCTCCTTTTTTTTGCACTTCAGTTAAGACAACGACGTCGAGCACTATTCCGATAACAATTGGCTGGAGTACTATTATGAGACAATGTCTTAAAAGTAACTGAGATATAAACCTCTATGGTTTGCATACCATATAAACTTCTACTGGTCACACGATAGAAGATATACACTTGCTGTTGATTATGTAAATGTTATATACTGAAGTACTATTTTGAGCACTTGGTGTTGATCATGTAAATGTTATATACTGAAGTACTATTTTGAGACATTTTTTATAGAGTAAAGTGCACGGGCGATCCTTAAACTTGTAGGGGTGTGTCATCTAGGTCCCTAAACTCTCAAAATGCATATCCAAGTCTCATAACTTGTTATAGTATATTATCTAAGTCCCAAATTGCCATAACCCCTTCAGGATCCTACGTGACGTTGATGTGGCATGCCACACGGACATGACGTGGCATTATTTTGACTAACAAATAGGACCCATTTAAAAATATTTCTTTTTTCTTCTCCTTCTCTTTTTTTTCCTTTCTTCTCCTTTATCTGTGACCTAAGCAGAAGAAAGGACAAAAAGAAGAATGAGAAGAAAACGGAAAAGAAAACGAAAAAGAAGAAAAAGAAAAGAAGGAAAATAAAGAAAAGGACACATCACGTCTATGTGGCATGACACATCATCGCCACATAGGATCCAAGAAGGGCTATGTCGATTTGGGACCAGATGATACACTTTGACAGCATCTGGGACCTGGATCTGCATTTTAAGAGTTTAGGGACCTAGATGACACAACCCTACAAGTTGCACTTTATTCTTTTTTATACTTTCAGTACTTTGTATGTGCGGTGTGATATGCATATTGTTGGAAAATCAATGCATTAAACTTTGAGGACGTTTATGTATTGTGGGAAACGTGCATTGCACGTACACGATTACTACTGTCCCCTTAACTCATGGCATTTGATGATTTGAGCGATGATTCGATGATTCTTCTCACAAAGCAGAGGCATCTTTGGAATAAGTCAAGATAATCATATTAAGAACCGTCAACACACCATCCATTCATAAATTAACCTACCAAACACATTCATTAGTCTAATCCTCCTGTGTATATACTGTTCACTTAATTAACAAGCGCAGCACTTGTGTAAACACGGCAAGCACAGCGTCGTTCACTGACTTCCCTTTCCCGCTATAAATAATTGTGCCACGGTCCCTATCAACTGGGCCCCACCCACCTTTGACCTGATCGACGACGACCCAACAAGTCCAGCACTAAGCACTACCAGTATTCCACACTGAGGAATCCGTGGACACGCTTGCTGCCTAACACGGCAGAATTCACGACGCCTCGCGCACGCGAAGCACGAGCAATTTGCTTGCTAGTTCTTGATCTGGGAGAGCATGCAGCGGACGTCCTTGGCGGTGGGGCGGTCCTTGGGGTCGTCGGCGGTGCAGAACACGGCGATGCGGAGGACGAGGAGGATCTGCTCGTCGTGGCCCGCGCCGGCGATGGCGGCGTCGATGACCCCGGCCTGCGCGGCGGGGTCCCCTTCCTGCATCACCCGCCGCAGCCACCGCACGATCCCGACGTCGTCCACCACCTGCTGCGCGAAGAACTTGTCCGTCGGCTCCTTCCCGGTGCCCAGCACCGCCAGGATGACGCCGAAGCTGTACACGTCGCACTTGGCCGTGAACTTGAGAGTCTGGTGGTACTCCGGCGCGATGTACCCCAGCGTCCCGGCCACGTTCGAGGTCGTCATGTGGGTGTGCGCGTCGGGCATCGCCTTGGCGAGGCCGAAGTCGGCGATCCGCGCCTCCATGTCGTCGTCCAGGAGGATGTTCGCCGGCTTCAGGTCGCGGTGGATGATCTGCGGCCGCTGCGACACGTGCAGGTACTCCAGCCCCGCCGCGATCCCCACCGCGATCCGCAGCCGCGCCGGCCACGGCAGCGCCGGCGACGGCGGCGGATGCTCGCCGCTGTTGTTGTCGTTGTAGTCGTTCGTCGTGGTGTCGGTGGTGGTGGCCTTGAGCGCGTTGTGGAGGCTGCCGTTCTTCATGAACTCGTAGACGAGGTAGTGGCAGTCGGGGCGCGGGACGTGGGCGGCGAGCGGGAGGAGGTTGCGGTGGCGGATGTGGCCCACGGTGCGGATCTCCGACTGGATCTGCCGCGTCCACTTGTCAAGCTGCCGGCTCTCCTCGTCGCTCAGGTTGTTGTTCTGGCCGCCGGAGCCGTCGCCGGAGCGCTTCTTGATCTTCTTGATGGCGATGAACCGCGGCGCGTCGCCTTCCCGCTCCGGCGGGAGCTGCGCCTTGTACACCTCGCCGCAGCCGCCGCGCCCGATCACGGCGAGCGACGCCAGCCCGTCCTGGTCCTTCTCCAGGAACGCCAGGTGCTCCTTGCTCTTGATCAGCTTCGGGATGAAGATCACCGTGTCGGACTTGCTCCGGTACCCCCCCCGAACGCAGTTGAGCGCCATCCGGAACAGCACCGACATCGCCAGCCCGGAGACGACGCCGGCGAGGGACCCGACCACGAACCCGATGATCCAGTTCCGCACCCGGTGCTTGTGGCTGCGGTGGTGCTTCCCCGCCGCCGGCGCCTCCGTCGTCGTCGCTGACGGCGTCGAGTTCGACGCCGCCGGCGAGGTGTGGTTAGCGCGAGTCGAGTTGCTGCCCTTCTCGGCGAGCATGTACCTGTGCGGAACGTCCACGGCGCCGCCGGTCAGGCGGTGGCGCACGTACTGCCGCCGGCTCCCGACGCCGGAGCGCCGCGCCACGGCCGACCGCGTCACATCGTGGCGGCCGCCGCCGTAGCACTCGGCGGCGGAGGCGAGGAGCAGGAACGCGACGCCGGAGACGAGGAGGATGAGAAGGGGAGACTTGCTCGGCTTGGTCGCCGCGAACGCCATTGCTGTCTCTAGTCCAGTGTGAGAGGTAGGGTGGAACCGAGCTTAGCGCTAGCTATTTAACAATGGCTCTGAGGGGTTGCCGCGTGGAACGGATGGACGGACGCGATGCGTTCGTGGGGTGGATGGACGGTTCAGATTAGGGCTGATAGCGACATGTGTGGTGGACCTGGACGACCTGGCGGGTCTGATTGGGGCGGGGAGACGACCGTTGACTTGAGGCGAGTCGTGAACCGAGCAGGACGGCCGGTGCGAGTGGGGAATTTACCGCAATGCCCCCGGAGAGGACTGCATCAACGACTCGGACGGATGACTGGAAATGGAAAGCGATGTGAGCGAGTATTGGGCTGGGCTGAAGATATGAAGTGTGGGCTAGATCTAACACGTGCAAAGAAGGAAAAAGTACACCAAAGGTCCCTCAACTTGTCATCGAATTGCAAAATCGTCCTCTAACCGCAAAATCAGATATATAACATCCCTCAACTTAAAAAACAGTTCACTATAGGTCCTTCGGTGATTTTGGGATAATGCCAGGGCTCGGGCGACTGGCGCGGTAGGAGCAAAAATCGGGCGCTCCCCCCGCCCCCCCAGCCCCCGCGCGCATGCATGCCACCTGGACCCAACCACACTCCCTGCCCTCATCTGTCACATGTCTCCACCATATACTCTATTGCAACAAATCACCCACATATTTTGGAAAGGGAATTCGTTTCATTTTTTTGTTCCACCAAAAATGTTTCACCTAGTGTACTCATAATGTTTCACTATGTATAGATCCAATGTTGCAGTGAACTGAAATATTCTATTGCAACAAATCACCCACATATTTTGGAAACCCTCTATTAAGGGAATTCGTTTTATTTTTTGTTCCACCGAAAATATTTCACCTAGTGTACTATAATGTTTCACTATTTATAGATCAAATGTTGCATTCAATTGAAACATTTTTTCGCTATTTGCTGAAACATTATTTTTATATAAGGTGAAACAACGTCCAATTTAAACGATTGAAACATTTTCGATCTACTTAGTGAAATAATTCTGATATACTTGGTGGAACATCGTGCAACATTTAAAAATAATTCAATAATAAGCTAAAAAATATTTTCGTCGGAATATATCCATGTATGGTCTTGTTTTGAAGATTTAATTGCAACGAATTTAATGGTGCAATCGGATCATAATTTGGATAAGTAATTTAAGAAAAAAAAATAGTTTAAAGTGGTTTTGCACGTATGCGTGGCGCTGACGTCAGCGTCTGATTTAACTCCCTCCCGATCGGGCGCCCGACCGAGAGTCGCGTCTGTGATTTTGACCTCGCTTTTATCCTACGTGGCGGCTGAGTCAGCGTGGGACCCACCTATCAGTAAGCCACGTAAGCCACCTGTCAGTAAGAATGGAGGCGACCACTGAGCTAGATCAATGAGCTTATAGAACACGATCGAGTATAAGACGGAAGCAGCAGGCACACGCAAAGAATGGAGGCGACCACCGAGCTCCAAAAAAAGCTTAGACCAAAAAAGATAGCGTCGATTCTAAAAATCAACAATAATAAAAGAGGTAACGCATAAAACCTAAAAGTGGATGAATATATGACATAAAAATTTAGATAGGTTCAGGCTCCCAATAAGAGATAATATTATAAGATGGATCTGGCTTACCTCCTATCTCTAATAAAATATGTAGGCCATGTGGGGACCCGGTAACCATATTCTTCACAGTAACCCCCGAGACCTTCATAGTAGAGTTGCAGTCTCCTCCATGGTTGATGATCACTACTTAATGCTTCAATGTTCCTTGCGAAGGCTTCCTGAGTGCTTACTTCTTGAGTCGTCATGTTAATATCTTACAAAGAGGTTGTGGAGGGCTCATCAAATAATGCACCTGATAGATGTAGCACCCGACCATGTGCTTAGTTGGGAAAAAAAACTAAACATAGTAAATAACTATAATTTTAGCCAGTGAGGTGACTTAACATTAATTTATAGTATATGCGGTGTGATCCTCGAGTAACATGACACCGATTGCATAAAGCTTGATGCACATAACTCTTGGCCAACCACAGCTTAATAACATAATGTGTGTAGCCCTAGGGCAACCATCTAGTAAAAATATAATGCGGATAGCTCATGGCCAACTGCGACTTAATAAATAAGTATCGCGCAAGGCCAACCGCATCTTTGAAAATGATACCAAATAACACCCAAGTCCTACGAAGAAGAAGTCAGTTTATAAAAACCATGAAAGCTTGCTATTTTCACCTTTAAAAGTTGTAAAGCAAATGACTTTAATAAAAAGCCTTTGGTTCTCCCTCAGCCACTGCCCATCTTCGCCCTACACTCAGACCCCGGTGCCCCGGCCTGTTCCCGCATCACCGCATCACCCGTCGCTAGCCGCCGGACCTCCTCCTATTTCGCCTCGCCCCACCGGACAGCCTGCCCAGACGAGGAGAAAGTGAGAGAAAGGAGGAAGGGAGAGAAGATGGGAAAGAAAGAGGGTGATGATGTGGTCACCCTTACATGTAGGGCTCATGTGGGTCTCACACTAACTCAGTAATCAGGTCGGACAAAACCAGGATCAATACAACGTAAGGAACCAGAATTATCCAATTTTATAAGTTGAGATCCCATATATGTAAATTTTCGGTTAAGGGATAATTTTGTAATTCAGTGACAAGATGAGAGACCATATACCGGAAATGGAAGCGATGTGAAAAAGTATTGGGCTGGGCTATATATATGCAGTGTGGGCCGTGGTGATGATGGGCTAGACCTTGGCATTGGCCCATTATACCAAGACGTGCTCAATGAGCTTATAGTACATACACGATTGAGTACAAAGACGGAAGCAGCTGCAGGTAGACGCAAAGAAAGGAAGCGACCATCGAGATCCTCACAAAAGCTTAGACAAAAAAGGGTTGCTAAAGGTGCCGGCGTGTAGTGCGATTGCGATCACACACTGCATGGAGAGTTCCGGCGGTGGTGGCGGGGATCACGACTCCCGCTACCGTCCTCACTCCCGGACAGCGTGCGAGTGTATGCCACCACCTCTTCCTCCACTACCTCAACCATGGCCGTTGAGGATGGAGGGAAACTTAGGGCGGAAGAAAAACGGCTCTCTCACAAAACGCGCGGGTTTCCCCCTACCTGACGCGCCAGCTGTCAAGGAGTGATCCTCTCTAGCAGGAGGACGTGAGATCCCCCCTAGTTCGGCTAGGGGATAAGGCGCGATGATCGAAAGCGTAATCTCGCCGAGATTAAGCTAGTGAGATGGATGATGATCGAGAGGGAGGCGAGAGATTATCCAGGTTCGGGCCGCTGGGAAGCGTAATAACCTCCTTTTGACACAACTTTGACTTCTTGTTTCTATAAAAATATTTATCAAAAAGTGATATATGTATACTTTTATGAAAGTATTTTTTGAAGGCAAATCTATTCATATAATTTTTACATTTTCAAACTCAACAACTTGAGAGATATTCATGATTTATATTCCCAAGGATTGACTTAAACATTAACCTAAACGACTTCCTTCATTCCTTTATGAGTACGGAGGGAGTACCTAAGTACATGCATATTTTTGGGGCTTTTCTAAGTACATGCATATTTTTGGGTTTTTCTCCGCTGGATAGTAGCATGTACTTCCTCCGTTTCACCATGTAAGACTTTCTAGCATTGCTCACGTATATATAGATGTTAATGAATCTAAACATATACATATGTCTAGATTTATTAACATCTAAATAAATATGGGCAATGCTAGAAAGTCTTACATTGTGAAACGGAGGAAGTACGTATTTACACGTACACGTGAGATTTTTGTTGGTTTTGATCTTACGGTGAATAGTGCATACATATTTCTCTCTCGTAGCACATGGGAGATTAGTTTTTTTTTCAATCGATGTTTTTGTTCTTTTCTTTGGGTAGTATGTATGTACGTATACGTACTGCTATTCACGTGAGATTTTTTTTATGGGAGTAGCTATATTTATAGCGTCATATTTTTCAATAAAAAATAGTCGGCATGTATTTACATTGTAAGTACCTAAATTACATATATAATTTTCGTGTATTGACAATATAAATCTCAAAATTACATATGTAGTCCTAAAGTTACATATATAAATCATAAAATTGCATCCTAATAATACATATGTAAGTAGCGTAACTACTGTGTAAATTTGTAAATATATTAATAACTACCCGCAGCAGACTTATACATGCAAGTGTGAACGCAGCAAAGCAGCGCCCAGCGATGGTATGAGCACAATAGATTTAACTTGACACGAATCTCACAGCGTATCCGATGGACACAAAACTACTGGTGACTGCTATGGAGCCAGAAATCTGGCGTAGGAATATAGTAAAACCGCTTTTTTTATTTGGTGGAAGGTTAGGTGGGATGCAATCTTTTAATAGATTTAATCTAATGATTTAGAATAATAGGTCCACCGCTTTAATTGAAAATCTTTTTTTAAAATTTCTAATATTTTCTCTAATAAATTAGAGTGCGATGTGGCGGTATAGGAACGTTTATAGGAGTGCCATGTGACGGTGACTATAATATAATAATCTAAAAAATGGTCCGTCATTTTAAATGAAAATTGACAACCTTTTTTGTTTTATTTTAAGTAAACAGTTTCTTTTTTCTGTCCTATAGTTTTTATCGTACGTAAAGTACGTTTGTTTTTTAAGTGAACAGTACCTAAAGGTACGTTTAGTTTTTTCCAAATACGTACCGATGGTAATTTTTTTCCCGGTATAAACGGCATCTATGCGCACAGGACATGATATATTAAGAGGAAATAAACAGATCTAATTTAATGGTCCAAAATAATGGGTACACCAATTTAAATGAAAATCAATGGTGAGATTATAAAATGCCACGTGATGATCTAGGAGCTTTTGTAGGAGCGCCACATGGCGGCTTAGAAGCGTTTGTAGGAACACTAATGGACTTTTAAGTATATAATATAATATAATATAATGGTTCAAAATAATAGGTCCACCAATTTAAATGAAAATCAATGGTAAGACTATAAAATGCCACGTGGCGATCTAGGAGCTTTTGTAGGAGCGCCACATGGCGGCTTAGAAGCGTTTGTAGGAAGATTAATGGACTTTTAGTATATAATAGAAGATAGAATCTAATGGTCCAAAATAATGGGTCCACCATTTTAAATGAAAATCAATGGTGAGATTACAGAATGGCACGTGGCGATCTAGGAGCTTTTGTAGGAGTGTCACATGATGGCTTAAAAGCGTTTGTAGAAAGATTAATGTACTTTTAGTATATAATAGATGTATATTGTGGTTGGTTGCTTGCTTGCTCATGTGTGTAATAATCAAAGATTGAAAGGATGTTATTAGTATGTACATGTGTACCTGCCGGTCATCACAAAACTGTTATTCTGTATGTAACTCTGTATAGTTCAGGGTGAAAAGTTTCTGTACCACATCAGATATATGGACACACATTTAAAATATTAAACGTAGTCTAATAACAAAATAAATTACAAATTTCGCCTGTAAACTGCAAGACGAATTTATTAAGCCTAATGAATCCGTCATTAGTAAATGTTTACTGTAGCACCATATTGTCAAATCACGGCGCAATTAGGCTTAAAAGATTCGTCTCACAACTTACACGTAATCTGTGTAATTAGTTTTTTTTTCTATATTTAATACTCTATGTATGTGTCTAAACATGTTATGAAAAATAAAAGCATAACAGAGACACGAATTTTACGTGGAAAACCCTTGTGGGGAAAAACCACGGGTGCCGACCAGCAATGATCACTATAGAGGAGTTGGATACAAATACAGGGGATACATTGTACGGTCGCACTCTCCCCGTGCGGTTTACAAGGGATATATATAGGAGAAATCTAGGAGTCCTAGTGGGGAAAGACTTATAGGAGAAATCTATAGTCCTAGTGGGGAAAGACTTAGAGTCATACTACGAAACTAATCCTAATAATCAAGTTCTATTAGGAAACTAATCAGAATATATTGTGGGCCTAAAATTTAGATCGCGTATTTAACAATCTCCATCTTGATATGAATTTCCCTTGTAGCATAAAAATCTTCAATCTCCAAACAACCTCATCATGATAAAATCAATGTGCGCCAAATAGTCACTTGGACTATAATCCATAACACCCTTGATCCAGAAGAGTTAGACCATACTTCAAATTCGCCATTGGGAATAAATCTTGAATCTACAGGTATGACATTGTGGAACCCAGTAGAGTCGTGAAACTGATGCACAAACTTCTAACTCACCATGAGAATAAATTTCTGGCATTAATTTCTTGAATCTCTTGGCATTAATTTCTGGAATCCTAGCAGAAACGCGAAACTCTTATGCTCAAAACGAAGTATTTAGATCTCCTTATTAACCTCCTGATATACTGGGCAAACGGACATAGCAATTCCGCCAGAAATTTGACCACCTCCACGTGATCTGGACAGGAACCTTGCGGCTCCCTCTCGACGACTTCGCTTGTGTGTCATGAAATATGTATGCGCAACTGATAAACTTGTGCACGACAGTATTAGCTCCTCCTCCATGATTGGAGATGTGCCAACTTGCAACCTCACTTGATATAACGAGAATATTACATCTCAATCTAGAAGCAGTAGATCAAACTTCAAACTCGCTTTGGGAATAAGATCCTGAATCTGCTGGTACAATTTGTCAAACCCTAGCAGAAACGCGAAACACCCTAGGTGTATAAAACGAAGTATGATCTTGATCTCCGTGCAGAACTTCCTGGTAAACTTGGCTTGTGAATATAGCAATTCTGAACGTGAATTTGTATTCCCTGAACAGAACCAAAACTATGCAAGGCTTGAATCCCTGGTGCGAAGGGCGTGTGCACGTAGCAATTGCAACGTGAAATTTAATTCACATGAACGGCAGGTTGACTGCCCTAATTATCCTCCTCAGGACAGGATGCGTGCTGCTGCCTTGCTTTTTCTGCTCAATGTGCAATAGATGGCGGTGCCCTGCTGCCTTGATTTTCCCTCGGTAGATTGCCGCAGCCTCCGATTATTGCAGCGCCTATAAACACCGACGGGATTATGTCTCGCCGAACGAGATTGAATCGGCGGGACAACGCGCTGATGCTGGACACTCCTACCAAACGCAACAGCAGCAGGACCGCAAATCCATAACTCCAAACAGATTGAACTCGACGATTGGACGAATACGGCGATGGAGGCCGAATAGCAGATCGATCTGATGGATGGCCATGGACCCAACAATGAAGTGACAATAGATCGAATCCAATGCTCTGATACCACTTGTTATAAAAATAGATGCACAACGGATACACGGATTTTTACGTGGAAAACACTTGCGAGAAAAAACTACGGGTGCCGACTAGCAATGATCACTATAGAGGAGTTGGATACAAACGCAAGGGATACATTGGGTTGTCGCTCCCTCCGCATACGGCTTACAAGAGATATATATATATATATATATATATATATATATATATATATATATATATATATATATATATATATATATATATATATATATATATGAGAAATCTAAAAGTCCTAGTGGGGAAAGACTTAGAGTCATGCTAGAAAACTAATCCTAATAGTCAAGTTCTATTAATGAAACTAATCCAAATATATTGTGGGCCCAAAATTCGAATCACATATTTAGCAAAACATTCGATGTGACAGGGTGAAAAGTTTTTCTTTGGAAACTGGCCTAAGTTCCCATTTGTGAGGAGTTCTTTTATTCTCCATGAACTTAGCAGTGATTACTGCATGCCCCATTCCCAATTGCAACGTGGGGGAGAGCAGGGAGGCCATCATAATGTGGTGCCACTATATCTGATTTTATTAAATTTCTCCATATATATATGTATTAACAACAGAGAGAGAAGCAAGTAGCAGTACATTATCCTTATTGATGGTATTTGCCTCTCTTTTTTTATTTTTTTTTTAAAAAAAAAGGGAACAGTCGACGACGCGACGTTGCCGCTGGGCTGGTTGGTGTATTGTGTGGTGAGCATTGCACGTCTCACCTTATTAAGCTGCAGCTACCTACACGACCCAAGCAGCAGCAGCACGCACACGGCACACCTACTCCCGCTTCACATCGCCAGGTGTTCGACCGAGGCCACCACCGGCAATGCCGAGCTCTGGCGACGCGGCGGGCAGGCGGCCGCATGTGGTGCTCATCCCGAGCGCCGGCATGGGCCACCTCGTCCCCTTCGGCCGCCTCGCCGTGGCGCTCTCCTCCGGCCACGGCTGCGACGTCTCCCTCGTCACGGTGCTCCCCACGGTGTCCACCGCGGAGTCGAAGCACCTCGACGCGCTGTTCGACGCGTTCCCGGCGGTGCGGCGGCTCGACTTCGAGCTCGCGCCGTTCGACGCGTCGGAGTTCCCCAGCGCCGACCCGTTCTTCCTCCGGTTCGAGGCCATGCGGCGGTCGGCGCCGCTGCTCGGCCCGCTCCTCACCGGCGCCGGCGCATCGGCGCTCGCCACGGACATCGCGCTGACATCCGTCGTCATACCCGTGGCGAAGGAGCAGGGCCTCCCGTGCCACATCCTCTTCACCGCCTCCGCCGCGATGCTCTCCCTCTGCGCCTACTTCCCCACATACCTCGACGCCAACGCTGGCGACGGCGGCGGCGTCGGCGACGTCGACATCCCCGGCGTGTACCGCATCCCCAAGGCCTCCATCCCGCAGGCGCTGCACGATCCCAACCACCTCTTCACCCGCCAGTTCGTCGCCAACGGCCGGAGCCTCACGAGCGCCGCCGGCATCCTCGTCAACACGTTCGACGCCTTGGAGCCGGAGGCCGTCGCGGCCCTGCAGCAGGGCAAGGTCGCCTCCGGCTTCCCGCCGGTGTTCGCCGTGGGGCCACTTCTCCCGGCGAGCAACCAGGCAAAAGATCCGCAGGCAAACTACATGGAGTGGCTCGACGCGCAGCCGGCGCGGTCGGTGGTGTACGTGAGCTTCGGCAGCCGCAAGGCCATCTCAGGGGAGCAGCTCAGGGAGCTCGCCGCCGGGCTGGAGACCAGCGGCCACAGGTTCCTGTGGGTGGTGAAGAGCACCGTCGTGGACAGGGACGACGCCGCCGAGCTCGGCGAGCTGCTCGGCGAGGGGTTCTTGAAGCGGGTGGAGAAGCGAGGCCTCGTCACCAAGGCATGGGTGGATCAGGAAGAGGTCCTGAAGCACGAGTCCGTGGCGCTGTTCGTGAGCCACTGCGGCTGGAACTCGGTGACGGAGGCGGCGGCGAGCGGCGTCCCGGTGCTGGCGCTGCCGAGGTTCGGCGACCAGCGGGTGAACTCCGGCGTGGTGGCGCGCGCCGGGCTCGGCGTGTGGGCGGACACCTGGAGCTGGGAGGGGGAAGCCGGGGTGATCGGCGCAGAGGAGATATCGGAGAAGGTGAAGGCGGCGATGGCGGACGAGGCGTTGCGTAGGAAGGCGGCGAGCCTCGCCAAGGCCGCCGCGAAGGCCGTCGCCGGCGGTGGATCGAGCCACCGTTGTCTGGTCGAGTTCGCGCGGCTGTGCCAAGGGGGAACATGTCGCACTAATTGAGTACTGAGACATGGGTTCTAATTTAAATAATTCGGATGGAATCCTTGTTACAGATTTTAAATTGGAATAAGAAATGAAGCCATATGAAATTTGGAAGAATTTTAAATTTAATCAGTGGATATGTTTTAGTGAGTTTAAATCTCTATAAATAGTACTCCCTCCGTTTCAAAATATTTGACACCGTTGACTTTTTAGCACATGTTTAACCATTCGTCAAATTCAAAAAAATTTGTGAAATATGTAAAACTATGTGTACATGAAAGTATATTTAACAATGAATCAAATGATATAAAAAAATAAATAATTACTTAAATTTTTTAAATAAGACGAATGGTCAAACATGTACTTAAAAAGTCAACGTTGTCAGACATTTTGAAACGGAAGGAGTATAATGTTGTTTCTCTAGGATATGATCTTAGGGCTATTCGTTTTGGAGGAAAACGAAAGGATTTAGATTAATCACTATGAGTATCATTTGGTTTTCAGGAATGTACCTACAGGAAAATCAAAGAAAAATATCCTTTCCTACATGTTATTGAGTGAAAACTTAGAAAAAAATTTTATCCACTCAAACATCTCAGACAATTCCTATGGATTGAAGTGTGCATGTATTTTTATTCTTTTACTTTTCCTATTCTTATGTGTTGGGATTCTTCCAAAAACAAATAGGCCCTTAGGGCAGTCCGAATGGTATCTATGGCATTAACTACATTGTCATGTAGGACTTTTAGTTTATGTGGCACTATATTAATTAAGAGAGAGTGAAGAGAGGAAGAAACTGGGTCTCATGCAAGACACAGCTTCAACACGAGAATCTATGTAATAGACACTATCAAGTTTTGCATTGGGAGAGAATAATGTCATTATAATAGATGAAGAATAAATATGATTGGTACAGAAGAGAGATGATGTATTTATTAATGGCCTACTTTAAGAAACCATTGGTTGTAGAGTGTAGTTTTTATTGTGACTAGTAACCGTGCACGTGCAAGGCACGTTGTACACATTATAACTTGCTTCAACATAACACCACAAAATCATAATGATGGTCCATTCCTAGAGAACAAATTAATCAACATTCACTATCATTTGAAATCAAGATTGAGAATGAGAAGCAAACACTTCAGTGCATATTATCTCCGTCCCAAAATAATATAACAATTTTTTGCTATGAATCTGGATAGCTAAAAATGCTTATATTTTGGAACGGAGGGAGTATTATAGTAACGGGCATAGAATCCATGTGGGTAAGAAACAAAGCTACATAGATAGAGATGAAATCAGGCTTCATTTCCATTACCATGCAAACTAATTTTTTTTTTAAAAAATGCCGGTACTCCAGTTCATACAACCGAGCAGAATACATTGCACGTCTTAGCTTAGATACTGAGAACAAAAACAGTCACGCTGAATTTGAAGAGAGGGTGTACATTCCATCCAAACTGAACTTGAGTCATGCATCCACCGAATACGCCTATAATTGTTTAGTGTAAGCCTTCAATTTGAACTATGAAATATATCCATATTATTGTGGGGGGCAAGAATGTTAATAGCAGTGGCCTTATGGGCCAAGTCTTTTTGTGGATTACATGAACAGATACATATCAAAATCCAGACAGCAAGATGGTTAGCTTCCTGAAGTGAATACATTTTAAGAGGTGAAAGTTTGAAGAGAAGTAAAAATTTAAACAAGAATCAACGGTGTCAAGCATGAAAGGAACTAAACTGAAGGCAAAATTTTATCAACCACTAATCACATGCAAATTTGAGTTTTTTTTACAAATATTCTGCAATACAAATTGATATTGGTTTGAGTAGTTGACAAAATACGTAAAACTGTCAAGTGTCAATTTACACTCCTAGAGAAGGACATCTCAAAGTGCTAGACTCCTGTGTCTGACTGCATATCCATGAAAATCAAGTAAGTCTTGTCAAATACTCTTGCAGTATTGCATTCTCAAAACGACACAATTGTAAACTTGGTTGCTCAAGGATAATAAAACTGAAGCATATGTGTTTGCTAAAAAAACATTAATTTGTCCCCGCAAAAAAAAACATTAATTTGAATTAGATACAAACCTCATAAACCAGACTTGACATTGTAAAACAAGAGTAAACTATTCTGGAACAGCTTCTACAAATCTACAATTCACAGCTTATAACTTAGCTAGACAGGGCATATCCCATCTCCATATGGAGCAACATTATTTCACCTTGTTCAGAAAAACACAGTATACATAGAGATTTTGTCCCACAAAACTTCTTAAAGCCATACATGAACTGAACTTGCGAAAATAAAATATCGAACAGCAAATACAGATATAACTAAAATATATGGAAGCTCTCTTCTTAAAACGCATGAAAAGCATTTCTGCTAAGAATGTACCCAAGATTTTAGAGGCAAACCAGAATATCAAACTGCAAATACAGATGGCTTGTTTGTTTCGAAACATACCATTCCCTCGAGCTAGCTAGCAACACTGAAAATATTTCCCCCCTAACTATGATCTTAACGGCAAACCCCGAACTAACATAACTTGCATCATACTTATGAAGTGCATGCCTCGTACCATCAGATTATGCTGAATGGATCCATCAAGCAAGATGCATTGAGAATTCAGATGAAAACTTATGCCATTGAAAAGGTCTCTTTATAAGAAAATGCATGCAGCAGAATCAGTGTAAGAAAAATGAAATTGTGCATGTAGTAGTTCCAAACTTCTAGAGCATAGAATTGGAAAATGAAATGGTAGGCCACAATAATAGGTGGATATTCAGTTATGATATGCAGATCGGGTGCTAAAAGTTTTACTGAGGTAATGGATTTACAAAATAGACCACAAGATTTAGTCATGGAATTCATGCTCTTTCTTCTTCTTGACGGCTGCTCATGTTGTCACAACTAACTGAAATCACCAAAATGAGTAGATAAATGCTATCAGCCTACCGTATTCGAGAAAAAAAATGTTATACCTACTACGAACCTCTGGACAAAGCTACCTTTTCAAAGTATTGATAGTCTACAATTATGCCTGTGAGAATGAAATTTGTCGTTTTCATACGACAAATTCAGATAGTAACAAAATCTGTCATCTGTCCAGAAGAGTCAAGGCATAGAAGTCAAGCTAGTGTTCATAATAGCATATATAATAGCGAATTAATTTCTTACCGACCATGGCTTGATCAAAGATTAAGTCTGCATGACTTGATTACATACAAAGAAGGCACTTTTTTTTTGGAATGGGATATCCTCAGCTTCTTGACCAGCTGCTTGCACATTAGGACTCCCGTTTTGACCCACTTTATCAACTCAACAAAGCAAAGCATGCAGAGATGTTTCTTCTAAAGGAATATGTGCCTGAAGAAATTCAGCAGGAAAATTTGTTTGTTTAATCCAAAACGGATACTCAAGTAAAATTGATAGAAAGTCTTAAAAGAAACAACCAGTGTGTGTAACATGAAACAGTAATATACATGACCTGACTATCCATTGCTTTTGGTCAAGTCAAAACCAAGAAGATCCAAGACCAGACTCTTTCAACGCAGCAGCTATCACCAAGAAGTTGTAGTTGTCAGGTAATTTTGGAAGTGGAGCATTACCTGTGGTAGATTAAACAAAAAAAAGGACAATCGCATTGATTTCTTTATCAAATTGGCTGTGCGAAGGAGCGGTGGCGATGACCAAGTTTTCAGCTCCAAAATGGAATGCAAATATTTACCAGGGCAAGACCTAGATGAATTGGTAGCTCCAGCCCACTGGACCTATTGACGATCACCTGCATCAAATCAAACACACGTGCTGCAAATTATAACAGCTGTGAATTATTAGTTAGTTCCTGGATATAATTCAAGTACATTTCCTGCAGATAATTCAACCAGTGGAGATTGTTGACATGGTCATATGCTGTTGACATCGATAGGGGAATTAAAGTGGAATCAAAGGCAGAATGTATTTGAGCCACATTCGAAGTCATTGAAAAATTCACAAAATGTAACATGCAGCAGTTTGGCAGACATTTTCAGTAAGTCACAAAACGTGATATGCATGTCAACCAATTGCTAGCTGACAAACAAAAAAATTGCACAATTGGCAGACCCTGCACAATTGCTTCTATGACCCTGCAATGTAGTCACATTTTCAAGTTTTCATTTGCAACAGCAGCATCATACAATTGCTTCCATAGTAAATAATTTACAGCAACCGTTGTTAAAAATTTTGTTCAAAAGTTCACAAAAGAAGATCACCTCAATGTAATTATCCGATTGTTCACTAACTTCAACAAAAAAGGAAAATCATGGTCACTTGTTTTCAGGTCGTGTTTTCAACTACCAAATGCTACAGGCCAATGCTCAAGAAGGAAGAAGATTAAAATTCCCACACGTACAGAAAAGATTAAGGAAAGACACAGGATTTTTGGGACTTGTACTCTAGGGGCCGAGGTCGAGGTCGGTTCCGGCGCCGGAGAAGGGGCCGAAGTCGGCTCCGGCGAGGACGCGGCGTAGCGCCGGCAGCGGGGCGGAGGAGGAGCGAGCGAGGAGGACGGCCGCGGCGGCGCCGGCAGCGGGGCGGAGGAGGAGCGAGCAAGGAGGACAGCCGCGGCGGTGGGGAAGAAGGAGGACGGCCGCGTCGGCTCCGGCGAGGACGCGGAGGAGCGGCGGCAGCGAGGAGTCGCTCCTGCGAGGACGCGAGGAGGAGTGAGCGAGGAAGAGAAGCACGCGGTCTCCGTGGCCGCGGGTGGAGGAGGAGCGAAGTCTTCGCGCATGGATTCCTCGTCTGCCAAATCGTGCGGTAGGAAAAAGTTGCGCGCGGATGGACGGTACAGATTAATCCGGATGATTTGGCCTGTAGCATTGTAGCATTGTAGCAGGGTAACTCCTATTTTTTATATTAGTGTAGATGTCTTATTGACATTGCACACACTGTTTATATATATCATGAACCTTTCAAATATCCATAATATATTTTGAGATGGAGTTAATAGCAACTTGCTGGGAGAAGGATTGCCGTACATACCACGTGACAGAAACATGACAAATCGCCTTGAAAGAGGAAAAAAACAATTGGGGGGGGGGGGGGGGTTCTAGATCTTTTGAGATAGAGATTGGTACATTACTGTGATGTAAGGTCTGATTGTCATATGCTGATCACATGTATAAACATCTTTTTCTTGCTATTGTGATTTATTTGGTATAAGCCTGAAAAGTACGAACTCGTTTTATTTAGTTACACTTTTATATGTGCGTTTTTGTAATGTACATTTTTCATGTATGAGCTTATTTTTCCGAGTGTTATGACAATTATGTACGGTTCAATGGTACTTATTTCTACCACACTAAGGATAATAAATTCACCAATAGTACAGCCATAAATTCAACAAGCATTTCATTTCACAAGGACAAATTATCAGGGTCAATCCGGATCCTAGCAGGGTCGTTTTCATCTTGTAAGTGGTTGTACCACACAAATCGATATAAGTATAGGTAAATATTGTCAACGGTGATAAAAATTGTATTTCACATGTTTTCAATAATATAAGATCAATAACCATAAAATAAGATGACAGGTTGCGGTCATGTCACCTGTCGGGCTCATTGCTGGGTGGTCATGCAAATGAGGGAGCGGGAGCAGAAGTGAGAGTGCAGTAGGGAAGTGGTGTGAGGATGCTGATCCAGCTTGTTAGATAATGGAATAAAATCTCGCCCTTTCCTCAAGTAGCTACAGCTAATTATTACATAAATTCATATAAACTAGTACATAAAAAAGTCTTAAAAAAATACACCAGTAAAGCTAAAGGAAACACAAGCTAATAAATATCTACACAAAACAAAGACCCATTGATTATTGAATTTTATTGGTGAACCTCTAACTCGTTGTGTCAAGTTGTCGACATGTAGATTTTATTAACTTAATGCTCTCATCACACCTTTATAGTTGAGTCTAAAACCCGAGCCAGTACGTTGTTTGTTGATCCGTTTAAAGGATCTACGTTGCCTGTTATGGTCACACCAATCCTACGATGGTGTAAGGGTTGGCGATGTACTCCCTCCGTCTAAAAAAAACTCAATTCCTAGGTTTTTGTGTCTAACGTTTGACCGTTCGTCTTATTTGAAAAAAATATAAAAAAAATATAAAAAGATAAGTCATGCATAAAATATTATTCAGGTTTTATCACTAACAATAATAAAAATACTAATCATAAAAAAAATTTCATATAAGACGGACGGTTAAACGTTGGACACGAAAACCGAAGAATTCAGTCTTTTTGAGACAAAGGGAGTAAGTAACTAGGGCGAGTGGATGGTTGGATTGGACTCTCATGCGAGATATGGTGACCCACGTCCACGTGAGTTAGGAGTTGTGTGTTATTATGAGAAATCTTGAGCGGCTTTACTACAAACGCCGTGTTTAGTTCCAAAATAATTCTTCAAACTTTCAACTTTTTCATCACATCAGAAATTTCCTACACACAAATTTTCAACTTTTTCATCACATCGTTTCAATTTCAACTAAACTTCTAATTTTACTGTGAACTACGCATGCCCCGCTTTTCGCGCCGGGGAACTACGACGCGTTGAACGGGCGCGAGCTCAAAGTCGAGCCGCCGCACCGCCGGGAACGCGTCGGACAGCGCTTCGAGGTGCCTCGTCTCCGCCGCCGACACGGTGGGGAGCACCGTCACGACGGAGACTTCGCAGCCGTGGCCGGAGGAGAGCGCCACGGCGAGGCGCGCGGCCGAACGGGAGCAGGTGGCCCATGCCGGCGCTCGGGATGAGGACGGCGTGCGGGTGCGGGTGCGGCCGCCCGTCCGCCGTGTCGCCTTCTCTCAGCATCTTCGCCTGCGAGGCCATGGTCGAACACCTGCAGCTGCTCCCGCCCGGCCACGATGAAGCGAGGGCCGAGCTTTTGAAGCAGAGTAGCCCATCTGAATTCTGATAAGGCTGGCTCCTGTAACCGCAGAGAACACGTTTGTACTTTGTACAGTCATTTGAGTCTGTCACTACAGTGGTTTGCATTATCACAGTAGCACGGTTACTATAGCAACAGTGTTCTAGTTACTCTAGGTACTGATTTGTACCGTTGGATGAAGATCCATCGCATAAAACATGAGCCAATGCAAGATACAGTACCACCTCTGCATTTTCTTTTTCAATGCAGAAAATCTCAATCCCTAGAGCGGGTAAAAAGTGGCCATCTGTTCATCTAAAAACGGATTTGCTGTTCTAATCGGGATTGAAGAAAAAAAAGCAAAAAAAAATCATTTTTATTGTTTTATCTGTAGGATTCTCTTTAAGATTCGTCTGCTGGATGGAGAAATACAAATCAAAACTCATGGTGTGTGGACAAGCTTCGAGAACCCCACGTGCTAGGTGCAGCTCTGTGCTACTGCATGTTTCTTTTAAGAGCAAGTTTAATAATGTAGTAGTAACCAAATATGAGCTTATAGCTTATACTAGAGTTAATATGTATAGCAGCTGAGCTATGAGCTATAATGTTATCTCTTTTTTTTCTCCTCCTCTCTCTATCTCTCAACTATATATTTTATATATTTATCTTGAAGTATGTGAATAGCTAGTTATTGCATGAGAGCCAATCATCTTTATTTTTAAATTCTCTTTCCTCTATATAATATTATAGTTGGCTTATAGCCTTATTATACTTGCTCTAAGGCGTAACTATGCGCAGATCAGGGTCACGTCTCTGTTGGCATTATTTAGGGCATGAGCAGTGTATAAGAGCAGGTAAATAAAGAGGTTAAGCCGGCGGTAACGTGTCCAAGCTGGCAAAAGTGATGAGTTGGAGAAAATTTAAGTGGACAGAGAGGGGAACGGGTGACTAAGGGTGTGTTTAATTGGGAAAAGAAAAGTTTTGGGTGTCATATCGAACGTTTGACCGGATTTCGGAAGGGGTTTTACGAATGAAAAAACTAATTTCAGAACTCGCCTGGAAACCGTGAGACGAATCTTTTGAGACTAATTAAGCTGTCATTAGCACATGTGAGTTACTGTAGCACTTATGGCTAATCACGGACTAATTAGACTTAAAAGATTCGTCTCGCGATTTCCTCTATAACTGTGCAATTAATTTTTTTTTTATCAATATTTAATGCTTCATGTATGTGTCTAAAGATTCGATGTGATGTTTTTGGGAAAAATTTTTGGCAACTAAGCGGGCCCTAATCTGTCGTCGACGCTACGCAGGCTCCAAGACTGAGAAACAGCACTGGGCGAGCTTTTATTTGTCCCCGCGAGACGATGCATGAACAGAGCTTTGCGAGCATGGCGAAGATAACAACAGACAAATTAAAAATTAGATTAAAATATTGTGGATATATGAACTAATAGCCAACTATTGTACGTGACTATCTTCAGTAGCTAACTGTATTGTTGATGTGGATATTTTTGACGCCAACAGTCCGCTAAATTATTGACCTTGCTCTAAATTGGCATCATGTTGAGTCCCATATGGGTCCTGCTGTAGTATATAGCACTGTGGTCACATAATGTACAACATGGGAGGGAGGGATATTAAGCTGGGCCCCACTTTCCAATACAATAGGAGTACTATTTACCATCCCAACCACCGCTTCCCTCTTCCTCTCCCCCAACTTCCTCCTCCCTGTACAGAACACAAATCAATCCGGCGGCAACAGCGGCGACGCTCGCGGGAGGAAGCATCAGTCGTAGGAGGAGGAAGCAGCAGTCGCAGGAGGCCACAGCGGCGGCGGCGGCTCTCGCGGAGGCACGCTGATCTGACGGGGGAAGCTAGCGGTGGCAGCGGTGGCGGCGCTCGCGGGATTCGGCGCCGGCTGAGGCGGCAGTCGCGCGGGGAGAAGGCCGCGGTGGAGGCGGCAGCGCTTGCCGAGGAGGCGGCGACGGTGGCAACGTCGCTCGCGGAAGAGGCCTGGGCGGAGGCAGTGTTCGTGGGTGTGCGGGGATTTGATGAGGTCTGCGTCTCGCACGTAACGGCGGCGGGGGCGCTCGTGGTCGGACCTCCATCGGCGGAAAGGGCGGTGCTCACGGCGAATCACCAGCGACATCAGCTCCGTGCCCTCTTCTCCTTTCCATGGCGGCAAGCAACGAAGTGCATTGAGGAGAGAGGAGAATTCCAGGGAAGAGAGATGCACACTGCATTTATAATGTAGCTCATCCAAATGACTCTTATAGAGACCACCTTCAAATGTATATGGATCTTTTGGGAGGCTTATGACCCCCTCTATTTCTATATCGCTGATGCTCTTGCTACAAAACATACTCCCTCTGTTTACACTTTGTCCACTTATCTTATTCAAAAAATTTTAGAATTATTATTTATTTTTTACTTATTTTATTATCCAAAGTATTTTAAGCATAACTTTTTGTTTTTTATATTTGCACAGATATTTTAATAAGACGAGTGGTCAAATAGCGAAAACAAAAACTCAAAATCTCTTATATTATGGGACGGAGGGAGTAAATAACAACAAAGTTTTGGCAATATCATATTCAGCTCATCGTATCAAACTTGAGAATATTACTAACTTACTAAAATTTTAACATTGCCAATTCTAAAAATGTTTATTTTCAACCTGTCTTATTAACTAACCATTATAAAAATTAAATATGTTTTTAAAAATTAAATATGTTTTTGCCGAAGATTTTCGTACCTAGCATGTATCCGAGACGAAGCAGATCAGTGTCCGTGTTTGATTCTCTTTTAATCATCAGATTGGCTTGTGCTCCGATTAACACTGACCTACGCACTAATTA